CCCCCCCCCCCCCCCCCCCATACAAACGTCTGTAAATTTTCGCGACTTTGATCTTTGATCATGAAAAGCCGTATTTTTTTAAAATTTCTACAAACACCTTAAAACTTGGCAATCTTACTAATTTGAAGGCGACTTTTCTTGCGGAGTTGAAGGATTTTCCCTGACTTGTGTTTGTCATAAGTTGAAAAAAGCCGTGGAAAAGCCTATTGACAATTGCCCGAAAAATGCCCGGGGAAGGACGATCGATGAGCCAAGGATGGGACTTGAAATTAACTGAGCATTATTTCATATTTCATCAATTACATTTTGACAGCAGGTTTACCAAGGATATTTCTTCTTTTAACATACTAGAGTTAAGTTCCAAAGGTCTTTGATCGTGATCTTCATTTGCAGGAACATGAACTGGTTATTATTACTAGGAACTAGTTATTATTACTGTAGAAAAATCCGATGTAATTTAGCATGATAATGTCTTAACCTAAATGTTTTTTGCAATGTACCTTTGTGAACTTGATTTCTGGATTCCTTGTTGCCTGATGAGGCATTTTAACCATGGACAGTGTTGCAGCACGCTTCGGCGGGAAGTACACTGTATAACGTTAATGAACTGTTTCCTTGTCTCCAGACCCTTCTCCGTTCGATTTTGCAGAAAACGACGACGACGACGACGACGATGACGACGATAACGATAACGTTTGATATGCGTTCCGTTTTCCACAGAGCACAGGAAATTTAATCAATTATGACCAAAAAGTTTAGCTATCAAATTATCATTCGCATTTTCTTGTTTGGGTAAGGGACCAGTCATAATTTAAGTTGGAGAGGGAGAGGGGGGGGGGGGGGGGGGGGGGAGAATTTTTTTTTGTCAAAATTTTTTTTGGGCCCCCCCAAACAAGAAAAAATCACCCCCCCACCACTTACTCCCCCCCCCGCAGGACAACAGATTGGGAAAAAGACCACGAGCGCGGCGGACAAAGGCACGACACATAAGGCAAGGCAAGGGTNTAAAAGATTTAAGGGCCCCCCTTTCTTTCTTCTATGGCATTTTAAGGTCCCCCCATATCCATGCAAAAAAAATTGAAAATTGAAGGCCCCCCAATTTCTCCTCCACCCCCCACCTCCAACTTAAATTATGACTGGTCCCTAACAAGGGCGCGTAAAGGGATAAAGTTTGGAGGTACCGAGAGATTAAGCTTCAACAGGAGCCCGGCTCCTGGCTTCAAGTATTCGGCAAACGGCAAACATCAGATTCAAGTTAAAAATTTCTCAAAATAGAAAATGAGGCGGTGGGTAGAAATAAAGAAAAGTAAACGACAAGTAAAAGGGAAACTTGGTCACGTGCTACAAATTCGTGTTTGCCGTTTGACGTAAACGTGATGCTCATAAGCCTCTTTAAGGAAAAACTCTGTCTTCATGCCACATTCATTTTTACGAGTTCAACGCACTTGCTGAAAAAGACAAATAAGTGCTAGTTATTCTCTGTTTCCAATGTAGTAATTTATATTTCCAAATACCTTACCATTTTACAGGAAGGAACCTGTAATCTAGAAAGGCTTTAGGCCTCAAATTCATAGCGGGGAGGGGTACTCCCAGTGATGGGCTCCTGGTACTCCGGATTTCAAGTAACAGTGATAATCGAATGGGGGCAAAACTCAAAAAAGTCCCATGCCGAATTTCCAAACCAAAAAAAAATTCCAGAAAGCGTAAAGATATCACACGAAAAACAGAAACATTAGTGATAGAATGTTTGTGTTTGTTTTCCCTCCCTCCTCGCGCGCTCCTCGCGTTTCGCTCGCGCCTAAAACTCCCTTTCCCTTCCCTTTCAAACGCCTGCCACGCAGGCTAGTTTATTTATCACACCGTCTGGAGTAAGAATCTTTTTCGCATATTGACATGATTGATTATATATTTTAAAACCGGTTTTATGAAAAAGATGCAACGTAATGCGTTTAATATTAAAACAGTCGCAAAACAAGTTTGGTTTTAATTTATTCGCGGAACTACGCGGCCGGGATACACGCGAACTCTCACGAATCTTCCGACTGTTTTGAATAACCATTAAAATCCCTACTACCCTACTTAAATCAAGCTACCAAAAAATACTTGCCAAAGTTTTCCTACCAAAAAAAATCCCGAAATCAAAAATTTCAAACCCCAAAAATCCTTCGATCACCCCTATCATTTGAAATCGGAGTACAGTTCGCACTTCTTGCATGTTCTTTGCAAGCCATTAAAATTCCCAAGTAACAATAGTATTTATTTTGGCAAAATATTGGCTCAACGGAAAAGCTTTAGACAAATCTCGAGATAAAACCTACTTTTCGAGACGCTTTAGATCGCGCTTTAGATATTTGAAGCCTGTCGGTTTTAAGTGTCAATTGCATCCTCTTCGACTGAGATCTCGAAAGGGCATTCAGTTCTGGGGTCGTTTTTTTGGTGGTAACGGTCGCCCATATGAGAGTTAATTTTAGCGTGATTTAAGATGCGTTTATCGCTGTTGAACTCTGTAGTGCGACCATAGCCAGTGTGTCGATCATGCGCTCGGGCAAGGGAACGAGAATGGCGTTGAGAAAATTTCCCATCATTTATTTTTTCTGTCAGTTGTTTCATCCACTGCTGCGATTGTATAAAAGCGTTCGTACGTTTGTGATTTACAGTCAAACCAAGTCAAGCGTACCCCCCAAGATTCTATTAATGAATTCATTATTTGAAAAATGAATCCGTTAGTCGTTCCCGTAACTGGTGTCAAATTCAAAGCGGTATTTCTGCATGCGTAATGAGCAGTGAATATTTTACGAGAACTTCTCTGTATTTGGTCAGATTGGAAATCTTTGAATGGATTAAGCTTCTTAGAAGACATTTACATCAATTTCAGGAAAATGGAGCTGGTAGAAATTTCACAACTGCCTCGCGTGTGAATTCACGGCTCATTACACATGCAAGAATGCAGAGATCAATCTGAAATCTACAACTAGCAACGGATTCAACTTTTGAATATTAAATTCATCAATGGATTCTTGGGGGGTACGCTTGACCTGGTTTGACTGTAAA